GCTGTATGCCTAGGTGATTCTCATCTGTGAGGGTCTGTGTTCTGTTCCACTCCTTGTACCAAATGACAGTCCTGAAAGCTGAATTTAGTTTGGATTAAAGGCACTGACTCCTCTAATTCACTTACATGAGTTAGCCTATAAGTGGTAAATAGTGCTTTTTTCCATGTAGACTTTTACAAGAGGGGTGGATATTTTTGCCTGGTTTTGTTTTAGAGGGAGAGGCAAGTGGGAAGGGCTAAACTATACTAAATACACTACAGACCTCATATTACTGCCGTTTAAGCCGGTCTTTTCATACTTTAGCTTAGTTCTATATAGCATTATATATCTTAAAGACATTTTTCATTTCTGTGGGCTGCCAGATGTACTGCTTATACCTTCTGATCTTGGATAGTTTGACATTGATTTTCCTAGCACACGCCAGGGTTGAAATCTGGTCTGTAACTCATCCAAATGATCTATTCATAACAAAAAGTGCCTTCTGGCAGTTGCACCACAGCTGAATATTGTTAAACTGAATTCATAATTTCATTTGTTTCTGATTGCTCTATAATGTTTACATATCTTACATATTAGTATGGTCTTTTGTAAAGCACACACTGGGGTTAAATCCTCCCAGATAGAACTCTTCCCCCTTCTTCTTCCTTTCAGAAGGTGTTGAACTCCTTTTTCCTTCAAATTAGTAGGAATCCTGGAACTTCTGAATGCTCGTTTAATCTGAGATGATGGGCTGAGCAAGTAGGAATGTGTGTGTTGAGGAGACATGGAAAAACAACATCTTCCTGCACAGGATTCTTCCCCATCCACAGATAGAATAACTGTGAGGTGGAGTTGCTTGTCTGAGTATACTACTACTGTAAGTAGGCATCATCACAGGTGGGGGCAATAGTCTCCGTGTGAATATGTTCAACTGAAATATTTATAGATGCTGCTTATGACTCAAAGTGTGAAAAGGTTCAGATTCTCTCATTTCCCATCTGCAGATTCCTGCTTCAATAACTGTTGTGCAGAGATCATTCTAATGTCTAGCAGAGGATATCCTCTCTGTGTTTCAGTTTCACTATATGTAAAAAATAAAAAATATGCCTGACAATAGGACTGTGTCACAGGATGAATTTAAGTTAAATAGAAGGCAGAAAATCTGAGGCGCCCTTTGAATTCGTATTTTAACTTTCAAGGAAGGATAACATCTCTTATTTGCTTTAAAAATAAAAATCAATTGCCCATAAATCTAAAACAGATGTTGGTTTTCTATTAAAAAGATTAAGGATTTTGTTAAGCTCATTAAAGGAAGAATAATAATGACACCACATTGATCCTCCTATATCATCATAAGAATGTCTGAATGCAATAGAAAGCTAGGAGAAGGACATGGTATTAGTGTAACAAAAATAGCTCTGAGTCTGGCAAATTGTGCTTATCTTCTGGGTTCTGCGGCAAACTTTGCACTATTTCTCCAACCTTACGCGTATGTCTAGTCATGTGTTTTAGTGGGTTTGGGTGGTATGTATACTCAAACAGAATTTGGACTTTTTATTATGAAAATACAAATGCCAGCTGCTGCATGGCTTTGAAAAACTTAAGCATCATCCAGATATTTCAAGGAGGGGAAATGGAAACCATTTGCTCTTTCTTATGCATATATCTACAGAAGAATATTCACCTTGTAGCTTCTCAAAGATTGTGTGTTTATTTTGGGGAGTATGTTATTCCCCAGTTTTCTCACTTTACATGTGCATCAAAACCCAAGGTCTAAAAAATGTGACTTAAACTCTTTAAGTGGAAGGAGGAAATAGGAAATCTGCTGATGCAGTATGCAATATCAATAAACCTCAGCTTGATAGCCAGTGTTCTTTATTCCAGTTAAAAGTTCCCACAGCAGAAAAAAAAATAAAACCTAGTACCCCACTGGCTGTATTCATCAGTGTGGTGATACACAACTCCCTCGTTTGCTCTGTTTATGTGTTGAAAGTTTGCTGGAATGTGTACAAACAGTACTTCAGTAGTAAGATGATAGGAAAGACTCAGTGTATTTTGAGAAGAGCGAGCATGGAATTATCCTGACCTGGCAAATTCCTGGGGGTGTCCAAAATACTCGTCCAGAAGTACTGGCTCGAGGGAGAGCTTGGTCTTTTAATCAATCTAAAGCTTTTAGTGTTATCAGACTTATAGGACAATTTGGTAAATTGTGGATTAATGGCTGAAGAAAGGTTGGGTTTGGGGTTTTTGTGTGTTGTGTTGTGGTTTGGTTTGGTTTGGTTTTTTTATCTGTATTGTCCTTCTTGATGTTTAGAACTTCCCCTGATTTCACAAAGGATCTTTCTGCCTTTAATATCCTTAGACTATTTGGTTTCTTCAGGCTACACAGCAGTTGGATTTTAAGCTTGATACAACTGATGTAGCTAGATTCTTCCTTCAGAAATCACAGTAGAGTACGGAGTGCTTCAAAGTTTGCTGCATCAAAAACATTTTGAGATGGGACTTCCAAAACCCAGGCCCCCTCTGCCCTAAATGTTCCTTTCCACCTGTAGGCGTTGTGTCCACAGCTATGAGATGGGAATGAGACGGGATGTCTGGGTTCTCAGCATGCTTCCATCACTAGCTCAGAGCAGATACTAACTGGGAATTTTGACCTTATGTTGTGTTCTAAGTAAGGTCCATGGTGTGGAATTGGTCTAAAAAGCAGGTTATTTTAGGAATTGCTTTCTGTTGCACTTAATTTTGTTATTGAAACTGTAAAAGAAGGCTTGCCCCATAGAGGTGTTGAAAACTCAAAGCTGTATTAATTTGTAGTTTTAAGAGAAAACAAAACAAAACCAAATGTCTTTGCAATGTTTTTGACGTAGCTTCATCCACTTGGAGTCATAAATGCCTTTTTAAATTCAGTGCAGCTATTCTTGCTCTTTAATGGGTTTAGCCAGCCAAAATCTTACGCAGACACACAGACACATGTGCACACATACATCTTCAGCGAAAGTAAGACAGCACATTAGAGCTGATAGAGGAGAACTGAGCAAGATTCTCCTATTCATGAGATGTGTTCTTAAGAGAAATCAGGGTTGCTTGACGCTGTAGTGATGTATTTTGAGAAAACAGTTTTTATTGTTTTGTTTTCCTACTTCATGACAAGAATCAGCTGTAATGTAAGTTTATGGCTTGAGCAGACTATTGTTTGTGCAGAAACCTCCCTGCTGGTGTATTTACTAAACATGTGTTCTGCACAAATGCCAGTAAACTGCATCTTGGAGCATATTCCCTAGTTGTTAGCAAAAACTGTCTTTAAAGTTTGGCCTGTTTGAATATAGAGAGAATGTGCATCAAGTTTAACAGGAACAGGCCAGAATTTTTAATTACTCCTCCTCGAAACTATTTTGACATGAAGTCTGGGCCTTATTGAAATCAATAGCAAACCTTAAGCATCTTTCAATGGGTCTAGAATTTTTCTAATGAAGAGCAAGGTCTACGTACAAAAAACCATTGTCCCATTGACTAAGACCTTTCTTTTTTGCTCTTCCAGCATTGCAGACATATAGACTTACTTTGTTAGGGAATTCTCTTGTTTCCTCCTCTTGGACCACTTCCCACCTTCTAGAGAACAACAGTTGCAGATTTAGCTGTCCCATTAATACGGACTAGTGGGAAGTGCATTCATGGCTCATGCGATGGTGTAGGACTGTGTTGCCATTCTCTTTTCCCAGTGGAATCATGGCTCAGATACACCTCGAATGTGTATACCTCTGTTGGTCCTGGAACAGAAAACCTGAATCATACTTCCAAGAGAAGCAGGCAGCCTGCCAGGGGATGGATGACATGTCTTCTCCAGCCCCCACTGCAAGAATTTTATGTGTTCAACCAGTGCAGAATGCATAACGAGTCTTTGTAGCAAGTACTAGGACCTAAGTTCCGCTGCCCCATTCCCTGTCATGTGCTGTGCATTACTTGCTGGACTGGACAGTGTACCTCCTTAGGCTTGCTTTCTGAACCAGAAAGAACATCTAGAAAGTCTATGTAGTCTATTGAAAGTGGAACAGCTTTATAAGAGGAAGGAAAATGCCCTCCACCCTTATAAACTGGTAATTTGCATCTTCTGAAGCAGAGAAAGGAAATGAAGCAGCGTCTCCCACATCCTGAGTGGTCTAACCACTATAATATTGCATAGGAGCGGGGTATCACTGTATATGTGGGTGGTATATTTGTATGCAAGTGGTAGAATACAGTCCTGTTCAGTTTCTGGAAGATAATGCTTAGATATCTGCCGTGATGAAAGGGTTCACAGGTGTGAAGGAAGGAGTGGTTTCTATAAAACTAAGACTAAGTAAGGGGCAGAATACTATGTTTACCCAGGCGAATGTTTCCTGTTTACTAGTACAAGCAAATCCCCTTTTGCCCAGCCCAGGCTTGCAGCTTCCACCCGAGGCACCTAACTCCTGACAGTGCTGTGAGAGCACTGGAGCTTGGGGTTGCACTACAAGCCTGGGGAGTTGATGGCAGATCTTGGGAGACTTCACTGTCCCTTGACAGCAGGATTCCCTCTCAGTTCTTAACTCTGAAAACGTGCAGGATGAGTGCTCTGTAAACACTGGTTGCCGATTACATTAGCTATTTTCTGAAAGTCAAGCAGAATGTTGTATCCAACTGTGCAGTTGAAGTAAGGTGCTTTTCTGGAGAAAAGAGGTAGTTTCTATCTCCTCGCTTCTGTTTCTGAAACTTCTTACTTTCTGCACGCTAGCCACAGCTGCTCTGTAAATGGGAGTGGGGGCAGTTGTGTAATCAGTAGCTGCAGCTGTGTCATGTCATCCAAAAATGATGCAAATGGAGGACATATTTCTCCACATTCTCCGTAGAGTAAACCTCTATCTATAAATCTCCATTTATGCTGGTAACTCCAGTGGAGGAACAGGAATAATTTTCAGTATTGGACTCCAATAGCTGCTAAACATAAGTTGTGAAATACCTACTTTGACAAATAGTTTCACTAGAGCTTTCTCTTGCTTTTCCAGGTCAGTGAAACACCCATTTTTGTGCCTGGTGTTTGGGGACCTTATTTCTCTGCAATGGTACCTGGATTGTGGTTGAATGAGGGAGGTCAAAGTGCTACAGGAAAGCTGGTAAGTGTTTGGAGACACAAACAGACTCCAAGATGGGAGGTCTGCCATAACTGCTGTCACTTGGGATAGCTTCACTGTCAATTCAGGCAGAGCTCTGCCTGAAACACTTCCATAAGATCGTAGGAGATACCATGCTGCTGAAAGCAATAAACAATTACTTGATTGTTACGTCTCTTACAAACTGTTCATTTGCTTACTGATAGGGAATTATGTATGGGGCAGAGCACTAAGAACATGTCTTCCTTTTATGATGATTGTGATAATTATTATTATTTTACAGGCAGATAGGCATTCAGTCTTGACTTTATCAGGAGGCCGAAATAGACTGAGAAATAGAACAATTGTGCTCATTGATGGGCATAAATGAAAGATGTATTGTATGGACAAAATAGTAATGTATTAACATATTATCCTGTCTAGATACATACTGTGTATATCGTCACCTCAATTCTTTCCTTGATTGCAGAGTCTAACTATATTAGGCTAATTTAATTTATCAATAAAAATTTAAACCAGACTGGATTCTCTAAAACTTAATTTTCTTATTTACAGGGAGACAGTCAGAACTGAAACACTGATGTCAAATTTAAAGAAAGGCTAGATGTATAGAACAGTATTTAGGCTTGAGTCCAAAAGTGTCAGCAAGACCTTAGTGGCTGCTTAACCTTGGAAGGTTCTAAAGCTCCCTGCGTGTCTCCCTGCTCAGTCTGTAAGAAATACTTAATGCCCTTTGGTGTGAGGTGAGGTGCCAAGCTCCTCTTGAGAAACTACAGGAGGCGGGCCCTGTCCTGTGGGATCCTCTGTAAACTCATCAAACATACGGGTGGGTTCAGTCTTTCTCAAATTGCAGGCGTAATTGCTGTCTTACTCAGACCTAGCACCACCTTTTTAAAAGCCTGAGGATCAGAGTACCTGTCCAGGAAGTAGTAGATTGGGGCATCACTGCATTTATACATTCCATACTGAACAGTCACTGAATGAGAAACAGAAATAATCCTGGATCAGGAAGCCCAGACACACCCTAAGCACTGAGCTATGAATTGGTGTTCTCTCCTTGGCCACGTGAATCTGACATTCCTCTCTGTACAGTGTCACGGTTTCAGTGGGAGAGTCATCCCTCTTCCTCTCCTGCAGCCTTCCGCTTCCCATCCCATCTCCAACCTGTCCCTAAAGCACTCTCACAGCACCTGGGATGTGTGTGCTTTAAATTTTTCAGGTCAAGACGGGGCTAGAACCAAAGCGTCCCATTTTATAAGTAACAGCTATAACCAGAACTAAAAATTAAATTACTGCTCCTAACACCACCACTTTAAAAGAAAAATGGCAAATCTTGTGTGCTTCTTTGTAAGAGAACTTTTGAGAGAAGTCTCTATGTGCTTAATCCAAAGCACATAAAGACAGTTAACTAAGCTCTAGAGAGGATACGGCAAGTCAGTGTTTTTCCTTGGCTGGCTCAGGGTGGTTCCAGACCTAAAATGTACCATGACAGTTAGGGCATTTCAGAAAGGTGATTTTAAAAAATCCTTTCCATTCTAGTACCAGAGAACAAGACATTCATGAGTCATTAAAGAAATTGCTGGGAAAAATGTATGGTCTTGTTAGGACCCATAGCAAAAGTAATCTCTAAGTCCTGGTGGGTATATTAGGGAAGCTGTCTTATTAAAACATTCTTAGAATATCTCATGTGGTTTTCTTGAGGTGGTATGTACAGAAAACACATCGGGAGCCAGAGGAGGAAACAGTGTATGTGCACGGTGTGGAGGATAGGTTGCGTTCATTATCTTTGTAATGTTAAAGCTGTAGTCTTTTTAAGATCCTGCTTTCTCATACTTAAAGCTTTCTGGAAACAAAAAAAATGGACATGTTTTGGGGATTCTTTTCCTTGCTTGATCTATGCCCAAAGGTGAATTCTTTTAATGAAATTTGTACAGTCTGTTGAACTTCTTAAAACTGATACACTTCCCTTTAAAAATCTCTAATTAATTTTTTTATTGATACAGCTGCAAAAAACGTCTGTTGGATTTTGAAAACTGGTTCAGATAGAGACCAAATGAAGAATTAAGAACTCTGCTTATTTTGAAAAAGTTTGTTTGTTTGTGTATTAGACAGGCTCTTGCACTGGATTTTCAAAATTTATAGGAAGAAAGATACTGCACAACAGAGACAAAGGATGGCATGACATTATTACAGCCTGTAAAATAAAGAATAGCAGAAGAGGGTTTCTAGATGCAACCCTCATGTGGCCGTGTCTTGAATTAAGGGCATTTAAATATCTGTGTGATTTAAATAACACATTTTTGTGTAAAGTGTTTTCAGAGCACACACATATATGTGATTTTTTTTTTTTTTATAGATTTCTTTCTGAATTTATGAGCTGCTTCTATGTTCTAAAGAGATTATGCAAGATTGCAAAATTCAGGCCTGAGCTTTGTTTCTAATGCATGCACATGTTTGAGTTTTGTCTTTGATGCAAATCTCGGAAAGAATGGGCATACATTATTTTTATTGCTATGTTCAGATGTGTATGCTTCATTATATGTTTTGCTGCACTGGTTAAGGACTAGACTCATGCTGTTAAAAATTAAATACCCAATGTGGTTTGCTGCCAGTAGGTATTGCCAAATATACTCAGTGCCCTTGAGTAGTTCTAGTTTTGCCTCCTTAGCTTTTACTGTCACATTTGATGGTATATTATCAAAAGACCACAAAACCTGCTGAATTATTGTCTTAAAAGCCCATGTTATTCTACTTGATACTTTGTTTTGTGAATAATGGTAGCCACTCTGGAGTGAAAGGACAAGATGATTTATAAATTTAGTATAAGACAGACCCTATATTGATCTTTTTTATAGCAATAATTGCTTTTCAGGGTATACATTTTGTTTCCTGCAATGAACATATGGAGCATCTATCAGGATGATAACACACCTGGTGTTTTATTATAACAGTGTGATACAGGAAGATGTAGGGATTTGGGCCAAGAAGATGTTTCTGGTAGAATTCCAATGAGAGTATGCATGCAAGAGAATGGGAGAGAGTAGAGGACATGCTCTCAGGTAGCGCTGGACAGGAAAAAAGTCATCCTTTCAGCTTGCTCTTCTGACTGAGAGTTGCATGCTTAGCATTTTGCCTATTTTTGGTGCAGCATTGGTTGTTTTTTCTTACTGTTTTTAAGCCAAATCCTGAATCCAGTAATGTCAGTGGGAGCTTTGCCATTGGCTTCACTAGGACTAGGACTTAACACCTCATGAGTAATTTAGAAGCTCTCTTGTCTTTTTAAAGTTATGACACTGCATTACCCTTTTCCAGGACCAAATTTTTAAGATGTAATCATCCCAAAAATGTTACTTTCCTCTTTTTCAGATAGATCACGTGGTCCGAGGCCATGTCGCCTTCCCGGAATTACAGTCAAAAGCTGCAGCCAGGTCACTGTTCTTATTCCTTTATCACTTACCTGCCTTACAAATTGATGATACACTCTATTCCCAGCAGTGCAGAATTGCATTGCTGTATCCTTATTCTGAAACAGGGGAATTAACAGTCTGATAGTGGGTTGGAAGTATTTACGAAGACTTGCCAAGTGATTGATCAAAGATGAAAGCTTTAAACTCCCCTCACATACCTTTGGTGTATCCAAGTGGTGATATTAACTTTCTGCTTTTCAACTTCTTTTAAATTCAGCCCAGTGTATTTCTTGATACCATGGCATCAGCCCTGTTCAGCAGACCTTTATTCCTTGGGCTAATGATGTGTCTTAATTTGTAGGTGACACTATTAAGTTCTAAGGATAAGATATAGCCTAATTAGGAATATATTATTCAATATTTTTGGAACAGTCATCTAAAGGAAAGGGTATAGCCACTGTATTAAAAATTCCTGCATGGCAGCAGAAATAGAGCAGAGAAACCCAGGATGAATTTTCAGACAAAACTTAAGATGTAGGAGTGAATTGGAGGTAACTCCAAGTTTCCTTGAGCAGGAGGCTGTGTGCGATGTGGAATTTTAGTTGGGTCTGCTTTAGAAGTAGATGAAGACAGTCCAGACACTTCTGCCAGATCTGGACTTTCTCAAGCTATTCTGGCTTGGATTCCTTTTAAGATGGTTCATGTCACTCCCAGAGAGATCTTAGTTGAACAGTTAGGCACATTGGATGAAAAATTGATTCTCTTTTAATTTCTCTTTCCTCCTTAGATTAAAGGAAAAAAACCAGCAAACTTGGCATTTTATTTTCATTTTGTTACTCTGGTCTAGAAGGCAAGGGTTAGTCCTGAGAGATGTATTAAGCACATGCAGTTGTACAGTTATTTTCAGCCCTCCCTGGGGGCATAAAGCTACCTGGTTTCTCTGGATGACCCTGCCAGGCTTTGTAGTGCCCAATGCCGTACTTGTTTGTTAAGAACTTGACCAGGATTCCCAGAAATATATTGGACTTCATTCAATATGAAATAGATTCATGCTTCCTAGAATTCTCTTTGTTGTGCTTTAAAAAAAGGAAATCAGGAAATAAATGCATCTGTGTATGTTTGGAATAAGGATTGATCTGGGTTTTTTTTTCTAAAATTTTGGCTTCCAGTGCCCCCATATGAAGCACAAGCATAAGACAAACAATTAGTTTAGTCTGTAGTGCCAGGATAAACCATGTTTTTGTGTTGGAAAATCAGTATAGAGTAGCCTGCTTGTCTATACTGGATCTGATACTAAACTGACTGACCACAACTAATTTCACTGTGCCAAAAGCTTGGATTGTGATGTGAATAGGACACTAAATACAGAGTATCAGGAATAGAACTCCATGTCATGCAATTTGAGTCTCCTGCAGTTAGTGAAACTGTTGAGGATGGCACTGATAAAAGGGTTTATTACATTGTATAAAAAGGATGATAATATTTTATAAAGTTAATTTGCTCAATGGTGTTTTGATAATGCTTTCCAGATATTACTCTCCTAATGAAATGTTTGGATAGCTATAAATTTAGTAAACAAGTATCTTATTAATTCCCCCCTATCTTCTTTCTCCCTGTCCTTCTCAAATATTCATGAACTTTAAATAATTTAATTTGAACAAACAAAAATAAGGAACTTTGCAATTTGAACTGAATTTTTCTCCTTGTTTCTTCATTTCTTTCTACACAAGCTCCAGTCTTATTGTAAAGACTAGTAGCAGTAACTATACCAGTGTGAGGCATTTTTTTAGAGAACAGTGTTGGCCCAAATTTTGGATTATGTGTTTACTTACATTAAGTCATATTCTTAATAATAACATAGTGTCTTGTTTTGGGGGACTGTTGGTGATGATGATAAACTCTTCCTGGAAATCTCAGCAGAATATTTCAGAGAATCTGGTTTATTATGTTCAGTATGTTCTCTGTGTTGGTGTAGGAATTTATATCTGTTCAGCCATTGCAAATGACCATCGAAAGAAAACAAAATGAGAATTCCATAGTTACGTGTGCAATTGCATATTACCTTTACTTCCCATGCAAGGTGCAACACTATGAAGAGTTAAGCTGGTTTTGTAGTGACAAAGATCACATGCATGCCTGGATCATTAAAAAATAACGTCTGAGGTCACAAATCCATGCCTCTTACTTGCTGCTGCCTATCACCTACTTTTACCACCCTAAACCTGTTTTTCCTTTCTCCAACACTGCTCATAAGTAGGTTTGGCAATGGCGACCTGCCTGCTGAGCAGCTGATCTCAGAAGCTTCACTGTGCAGACTTCTGTTCCTTTGCCTGTACCAGGAGCAAGAGTTTGCAAGCTGCAGTTATCACTGTTTCAGTAATTTGTGGTAACTTGTTAGGGCGCGAGCGGCTTAGACAGACTTGCCAGAAACCAGCTCCCGCTGACCACTTGAGCTGAAGACCAGTCTTGTGCAACCCTCCCAGCTATATTCCTATGTTCTCTTTTTTCCTTCTTTTACTGGAAGCGGAGAGGGTTGAATTACATGAGGATCATCTGGACAGCTGTAAATTTAGCATTCAGTCTAATTAATTGGCATACTCTGTGAGCAGCAAAACTTGGGTTTTTTTCATGCATTTGAGTGACTTGCAGAAATTTCTTTGTAGATAAAACATTTGGTCTTCAGTGTATATATTGTCTAGGTCTGAACTCTAGCCATCACTGATAGGGTAAAATCCAGTATAGGTAGGCTAGACTAGGAAATTTAAAAAAGAAATAATATGATAATTTATGCTTTAAAGTTTAAATACTCCTGTTTCCTAGAATCACAGTTTCGAACTGTTTGACAGCAAATATATGCCCCTTGATGCTTCCTGTTTTAGGACAGAATTTCCCTTCCTTCACTTCTCAATGCCATTTCCTCATCTAAAGACATGGCTCTTGAAAAAAAGTGGTGAAGTGACATACGCTTTTTCTATCAGCAATTCTGGGATCTTGCAAGCAGAACATAGTAATCATATTTGGCAGTTTTCTGTACCTCTAGATGTTTTAGAGGCCCCTTTTTTAGGTTTAGAAATCTAAAATTTTTAGATCTTTCCTGAAAGATACCTGCTGGCATCTTCCAGGATTCCTTAACAAATTAAATATCTACCTCTTGTTGCTTTCTGAAGTTATGTCCCTTATATGAACATAACCCCAGGCAAACTTGCATTGATTTCTTTTTCTCCACTTTCAACATAGGTCCTTTTTAATAGCAGTAGCTTGTGCTCAAGTCTGCAAGTCAGATCCAGCTGCTACTAATACCTTCTCATAGTGCTGAATAGAAGAAGCTCCAGAGAGCTGATGGTGTAATACTACATATAACACAAACACGGTAGAAACTGGAACTGGCAGGTGTTTTGAAGGATTTTGCCAGTCACTCAGTCCAAATGTAGTGCCTTGAACCCATATCTATTTTTAGAAAAAAAAAAAAAAAATAAAATGTGTGAAAAAAAAGTACAATTCCAAGCACAATTCTTAAGCACATCTGGCTGAACTTCAGCCTCTTTTGTCCAGTCCTTGTGTTCTGTCAGAGCTGCACGAATGGCTAATCCTTGTAAGAGTAATCAACCAGGATGGAGATCAGATAGAAGCAGGGATGTCTGGTAGGTCTGTGGTTGAGTGAAGCTTTCCTTTCCTTTCCTCTCCTTCCTGAGAGTCAAGCCATGATTTAAACTGGAAATAAAATGACTTTGTCCTTAGCATGTACTGCTTATAGTGCAGTCTTTAGGGATGTAGAAAACAGGGCCACTTTTACAACAAGAGGGGAAAAAATGATTGTGACCTCAAAATTATCATAATTCAGGTCCAGGAAGACACATAAAGTACATTTTAAAGTACGTGAATAATGATGTGAATTAGTTACTTTAATGTCTTCCAAGTGTACTTCATTTTGAATGATATCCTCTGATAGCGTACACATGGTAAGGTATAATTGAAAAAACATGCAGCTGAATGGTTGAATGCAAAGTATAAATATACAGCTGCTAGCAGGTCAGAAGTCAAACTAGTAAAGCATATGCCAAATTCCCTTAGGGATCTCATTAGTGTGTGATTGAATATACATGTAGAGGCTAAATGAATATCACTGTTTGGGTCTACAGTGGATGAGACAATGACTAATCAATTGTAATTAGGGTTAGATGCTATTATTGACCCACATGTCTAGAATTAAATGCCCCACTTGGAAATTTCCAAGGAGTTGAAAAATATATATGAATCTGTTTATGATAGTATGAGCGTTTGAAAAAATATTCCGAGCATAATTGCAACATTTTTTAAATGGAATGTCACTTAGAGTCATTGCGAGCCAAAGCACTGAAGAATTCACCATCAGTCTTAAGATTACTCTTGGTCCAGGAAAAAGTCTGTGGGATACTGTGGAGTTGGGTGTAGTATCTGATCTTAGATACAATCATATTTAGGCCCATGTTCTGCTCCTCCCTAAAATAGCAGCCACTTGCTTTCTCTCCTCCACCCTTAGTGCTGGATTTTAATCATAACACATCCTGAAATAATTATGGTTTAAAAAAGGAAAGCTGTAAGTCTAGTGCTGTTGATTAATCAAACAAATCTTTGAACATTTGTAAAGGAATTTGATTTTCATTTCTGTCTGGAATCTTCCTTATTCCTCTCTCTCTGCTTGCTTTTCTCTAAGTTTCTCTTTCACAGTGTCAGCACCTCTCTGCTAGAGACCAGCATCATCAGCCCCCAAAATACCACACAGCTCTGGCTCGTCTAGGGAACCGTAGGAGTCAAGATCACAAACTGCCATTATCTCCTTCATCCTGTGAAACTGAGAATTTCAGATGGCCTGTTGACGGGGTAGACACCCCCACTGCCCGCACTCTGCAGTGCCATGGGCTTGTCAAGCACTTGGGTTTGCCTTTCTCCCCCTTTGTTTTAGATTTGGGATTTGCCATTCTTTAATGGGGTTTCTGCACTAGATGGTAGTACAAATGTTTTATGTTTGATGAATAACCTCCCCCACTCTTTTTCCAACTTGTTTTTCTTCTAGTGCTCACAGTATATATACATACTTGAACAGTCACCTGGATCTGATTAAGAAATCTTTGCCTGTGGGTTTCCTCACTGTTGATTTACATGTTTGGCCAGATTTCCATGGTAACAGATCTCCCTTAACAGATCTGACACTAAAGGGCATGGTAAGAAACAGCCTCTCTTTGCAAAAAGGTCAATACAGGGTAAAAAAAAAAAAAAAATCTTGGAAGTTTTTTTTTTCAATTTTGAGTGTACTCCTCCTCAGCTATTTAAACTATCCCATAGGATTTGGGTTTCTTGCTGCATTTCAAAGTGTGCTAATGTTTCAGTAGAAAACCAGAGATCATAATAGTTCAGATGTTCCTACAGCCACATTTATTTTCTGAGAATGTGAGGAGTGTTGTATGTCTCCTGGTATCTTTCCTAGGAATCACAGTTCATGATTAGGAGCACTTGCTGTTGTTAACTCACCTGTCTACCAAATTTTGCATATCTATTGCAACGAATTTCAACACGAATTTGAGTATGCCTATCTGGGAAAGGAATGAAATATTCTGAGGAGAAATTGCTTGACTTAAACAGATAAATGTTCAGTAAACGTGCTGTATTAGAGTTGTCAGGTAGTAAATCTCAACAGAAACTGAAAAGCTCCTTTGCTTATTGTTAAAAATGGGCATAGATGCTTTCATGATTGGAAATACGCAACCATGGTGCTTCATACATCTTTGTTCAAAGGTAAACCTGATCTGATTCTGGCTTGTGGTTTTAAAATGGCTACTTTTGGAACTTAAAGGGATTGAAATACTGTGTCCCACACAAAGAAATTTTCAGAGCATTGCAATCCGGGACCAGAAAGAGCAGCGTTTGGAAGCTCGCCAGAGAACCTTTGCTGGGGAGATTTTCAGCCCATCTTTAAATGTTTGGATGTTTCTTTTCACTGAACTTGCACGGTGGTAGATTGGCTGGGTCACAAGCCAGGGTGTTATTGTGCAGAACTTGAACGAAAAATATCATTAGGATATAATTTGATGATATCAAAATACCTCGTGATTAATGCAAAAATGTACTTCAAGATGGCATACTGTCCTTGAAGTGCGCATCTCAAACTACACCAGCACCAAAATCTGCTGTATTTAGAGTTGAGATAGGAAAGGGTAGGCGTAGGTACTGAAACACGTTTTAAACTGTGAACAAGGGAAATACTAGAAAAAAAAAATAGATGGCTTCTATATTTTTGGGTCCTAATAATGCCTGTATTATTTTATGAAAGAATTATATGCTGCAGCAGAATCAGAATTTCCTTTGTATGATGGCTTTATGCAAATACTGGTAAAAGCAACACATTTTTTTTCTGCCACAATTATGGCTGCATTCAGGTCTCGCCTATGCTGATATTAATCCAGAGTAACTACAGTGCAGTATTGATTTATATCAGAGTAAAGGAGGTTAAGATATAGTCTTTATTTATTAATTGTGTTTCAGTGTTAGGGTGCTTGGAAGGGAGGGGGAGAAATGCTTTTAAAAAGTTATTTTTATGTAATAGCATTTTCATATTATTACATTAAATACATTCACGAGCAATATCTGAGTCATAATATAAAACTGTCAGAGTTAATCTATCTCTGATCCATACAATATGCTGTTTGTTCTTTATTTCTTTGCAAGGGCAAGAACGATTTATGTAGTTCTTCTCCAGATCAGGAATAACATGTTTAACATAAGATTATGTGTACAGCTCACAAAAGTAAGGCTTAGAATTAGCACTTAAAACTTGTTACAACAAGAAACCATAGAAAATAATAGTTTTACTTTGGCTGGATTTGTACATTTTCTTTTTGATCTTTGCACAGGTTGTTGGACTAACATTGTCTCGGGGTCTGGATGAACTTGCCCTTATCTACTTGGCCACGATTCAAGCCATTGCTGTAAGCCATTCTAAGTGCATAAAAGAATAAATGAATTGTCTTATGTTCTGTGGCAGACTGATCGTTCCCTTCTGCTAAACAGATTTCTAATAATAGATGAATTCACTTAATGGACTTCTTAAAGGAGCAAGATATTGTTTACCCACACTGGTGACTACTCCCTACTGTAGGATAACCGACAGACTGCAGAGAAAATGTTCCCCTAAAAAGTTTTCTCCTTATGGCAGCTCTGTAAATGGCGCTTTTGCCTCTAGTGCAGATGTGAGGAAAGAGGCTGATACGATATGGAGCAGTGTTAACATCATGGGCCGTCCAGAGGAAGCTGAGAGAATGGGGAAAAAAAAAAAGCTTTGGCAACTGTATGAAGGAACTTGCGCTCCCCTAAAATGCCTCAGCTTCAGATTGCTCCTAAATCCATGGATTTCCCCTGCTTGCCTGTTAGATGAGTCAGAACTCCGTGCCACGGCGAGTCGGAGTGGGTCTGTGATCAGTTTGTAACGCTACAGAGCGAACAGACTAGATCTCATTCCTCCCCCGGTGTCCCCGCTGCAAGGCCAGCAGCTGCTTCGTACGTAGCAGCTCCAGCCTGTGGCTGTGTTTCTGTACAAGCAGACAGGGCGACTGTCTGGATGAAATGTCCTCGTTTGCGAACGTGCAGAGATGGGTACTTTTATTGGAATACTTTAATTTCTGCCCTAATTTTCTCTTGAACCGAGGATTTTGAATTCACAAGAAGTTCTATTTTGAAGTGAAAACCTGAGTCAAAGAAGTTGTTTTGAAACCCTGGTGCAGGGTATTTTCAATGGGCTGTGCTATCCCCAGGCATTTGGTGCCTGAAATCAGCATTCCTTTGACATCCTTTTTGTGATTTTTTTTTTTTTTTTTTTTTAAATAAGTTTGTTGAACTTTAGGTGTTTTTGCAAAACATTAACAGTTTGATGAATTGGGGAATTTTCCTGACAAAACTCTGTTCAGTTGGAAAACTTCCAAACTCCTGTACTGGTTAAACAACAACTTTGCTAGGCTGGGTCAGCCATCTGGGATATAGAGGGTGGGCGGCTGCTGTAAATTTAATGTGAATTGTACATCTTATGTGTTAACCCTCCCTGTTCAGCAAATAACGAGAACTTAACCCCAGCCTGGAATTCATTGTTGTGCGTTTTGATCCTTTTTAAGATGAATGTAGCTTGATTATACCTGATGCTTCGGTATAATCCCACTATTTAAATAAGAATGTTTAGGAGATTTTAGACAATGCCAGCGACTGATACTGCCCCCTGAAAGAAACTTTCCAGTATCGAACAGGTGCTCCCTTATTATATCGTGCTAACGAAGTGGAAACGTTCTCTGCTGGAAATCCTGGGAAAGTCACCTATTATCTCATTATATGACACAACTCAAATTTTATTGTAAAATGCAAATACTGTGTTGAACACTAAATTCAGCATCTGCATGTCTTTTTGATAGCTAATTGCGCTGAGAGGTTTAATATAAAAAGGCCATACTGTAGTTAGTTTTCCTTGCAAGGTAATGGAAATTCTTAAAATGCTATTGAAACAGTAACTAAAAAGTAGACAGAGAAAACTTGTTCGTAACTTGATATAATTGCTAACTGCTAATGTGATAACTAGGAAATACAATTTTCCTCCCGTACTCCATCACTCCCAATTTTAACTTCACTTCTGTTGAAGGAAATAGTTCTCGTTCAGGACAGCCCCGATCCTGTACCATTAGCTGCCTTCAGTGGGTGCAAGATAGACTTTAAACCTAAGTAAAAATCTTGTAAAAAGTGTAGGCCTGCCCACAGAATGTTAATCTCTAGTTTTCTTTTCACCAGGAGACGCTTTTTTCTTTTTATAGAAAATTTGCATTTGAAGCCTCTCAATTTGCATTTTTCTCCAATCCAGGATTAAATTAGTTCCCCCCACCCCCCAGTGAAATAAGTCTGGCTTTAATTTAAATTGCTATGTGAATACAATTTTCCAGGCAGGTAAACACAAAATAATTTTCACAGCATGTTCTTTCTCAGGGTCTTTGACGTGTGTATGTTGTGAGAGAAGTTGTTAATAAATTTGAATTTCAGAAGTAGTGAAAGAGAATATCCTTTTAACTATTCATTGCAAAATGCGATGCAACAGTTAGACGGATGAGAACATGATCAGAGATATAATTGTGGCCGTCAAGCCCGTTCTGAGGAGACAGACTCTTTTTAGAGCAGTTTATTTTTCCATAATTAAAATTGTGGCTGTGTGATTTGGAAATTAGCCTTCTGTGTCAATAGGGAAGTGATGGATTTAGTCAGCTGGTGTTGCGGCTGCTAAAGTTCCTCGTAACTGCTTGCCTGAAAAACCAAAATATATTTGAAGGCCTGTCCAGAGTGGTGCCAGTCAGTCACAGTGAATGTCTCCAGTCTGATGAACCTCTGTTAGCTTCAATTTTCAGTAGCTTTTACTTGAAGAGGGGTTTATTGCAGGCTGCAGACCTTGTAATGAACTTGTCGCATCGCATAAAGAAAACTTAAACAACAGCTTGTGAAATTTTGACCAGACTGTGTTTTGAGGGGAATCTACCTACAAAGAGTCATCTTGGGCAAAATTTTGGCTTGAATTTGGCATTTTGTCAAGTCCAAGCTTCAAAATTAACTTCCAAAGTTTTATAAAGAGCTGGGAATTATTTTTGGACAAATAGTTTGTCAAAGAAATGGAAAATATTCTTGCAAGAGGAAAGGGAGAAGGTTGACTTCAGTGAGTACTTGGAGGCAAGCACAGCAAACAAAAAGAGAAATGATTTTTTTTTTTAAATGGCAAAGCATTTGCTTTCATCATTCACGGAGCGGAACACTGAGCTGTTCTAATTTGAGTTTCTCAGAATGGAGACTGTAAATGAAAAGTTTCAAAATATGCCTACATTTTAGATGTTTCAAATAATCCAGGCATGAAAGGGAACATTTTATTTTGCACAGGGCAAAGGCCAAGAGAAATAGTTAAGCCGATACAAAATTCTTCAGGTTTTCCTTTTTGCTGAAAAGACAGAAAAACAGAGTTTTTTATTTGCTCCTCTTTTTGTTCTGTTTTGCTATTTGGCTTCAGAATTGAAATCTCTTTACTGAGAGTGGTTTTCAGATGCTGGTATGCAAAATACATGGAAGTTTTTGGTGGGGATGTCTTTGCCATGCAGGTTTTAGTTCTGGATCTGGAAATGTTTGCCGTACCCTGGTGCACTTGGCCACAAACAGCTGCTTATTGCTGCCGTCAGATTTTCCTGGTGCCCGTTTCTGTGTCTTCTCATAATCCCTGACTTCACCCTTGTCAGTACTTCCCTGTAAGCCCCGTTTCCCTGTGTTGCTGTGTACTGGTACGTTTGCATTTCTTCAGCCATCCCCAGGATGTTTACTGCAATATGCTGTGCCCATGTACTTCCCAATTCTTTGTGCCATATGTTTGATTTTTCTGGTTCTTAATTACAATGGCTGTTACTGGCTGGAAGCTAAGCAGAGGCCTTACCCCAGCAGGTCTGTTCCCAGCCCCCAGGTTACTGGTAGGGGCAGTTAGCATCATTCTTTTTAGCAAATTGTGCTTTAAGATCTGTTCCCATGGCTGCTCTCCTGTGCTCATCTGTTTGTTGTTTTTTTTCCCCCCCTTTCTGAAGTTAGGAACAAGACATATTTTGGAAAGTATGCAGACTGCAGGGCACCATATCAACACGCTGTTTCTGTGTGGTGGGCTGAGCAAGAACCCTCTCTTTGTGCAGATGCATGCTGATATTACCGGTAAGTTAGAGGAAGTGCAGGGAAAGGAGTGTAAACTACTTTATTTTAGGTGGCTCAATACTTTGTCTTTGAAAAAATAAATCTTTATATAGACCTGTGTTTGGCTGGTTGGCCGAAAAGTGTGTAATGAAATGTTACTTCCTGCAAGATTGAATTTCCTGAAATTTAAAGACATTTGAGTAACAGATATGCAGTGATGACAAAGCTTCATACTTTGTATTGCTAGAAAACAGACTTCAGGAGAAACTTCCAGCATCACTTCCAATCTGCGGATCTTAGACTTACAGGTTTTTTAAGAAAGTGCAATAGCATAAATATAAAAACTTCATATGGAATTTTTAAAACCAGTATGTATAAGTTACATGTCAGAGATGTTTCTCACTATCAGATTTTTAAAAATTATTTGAAATGTTCCATGGAATTTGTTCCATTCAGTCAGATTAAAAAGTGTTAGATGAAGATAATGCCCACTACATTTTGTGAGCATGGTTTGCATAAGATATATTTTACTAAAACCTGTATTAGCTTCATCCTGTTTGAATTCTGTTGCATTTCTGACACTTCCTGCTCATGCTGGGTGTTGTATCCACTACACAGAACAATTCTTTTCTGAACTGCTTCCATGTCTGTATCATTACTACGGTTTAGGGGACAATTTCTGGGTCCTTGATCCTGCACGGTGTTGCGTTTGGTTTTGTAGAACTCCTGATGGGTGGAAGGTCCTGGGTGTGTGGTTCATTACAAGAGGAGGTCTCAGGCTTGCATGGTGTTTTTGGTCTCCCTTAAGCCTGTGTGTGTTGGACATCTTAGCACACCTGTGAGTCAGTTGAATATACTTTAAAAAATGTGGAAAAAATAACAAATTTTAGTGTAAAGGACTTCAGAGAAACTTTGAATGATGTGTGTTTTGGGTATATTTCAAATTAAGACCAGTTGAGCTGTCATGAATAAAGTTTAAGGCTCACATTTGGGGCATTTGGTCTGGAGAGCTGACTTGCCCTAACATCAAACACACTTATAACCTTGATGCAGGAGAGAAGATGAAAATATGCTTTATGTACTTACCTGAGTTGAAAAGAGAAATGGAGAAGCAAAAAGCATCATGCCTATTGACCTTAAAATTCACTAAATACATTGTAGTCAAAGTGACACTTTCTGTTTGTAAAAAATTATATTGTCAAGTCCATGCCTTTCCTTATATAACTCAAATGTTTTAGGTGAATTTCAGCTACGTGTAGAGTTGGGATGCTGGTTCATGATGTGTAAAATAAAAGATCTGTGAAAAGGTATTCTGATTAAAATGTAATCAGAAGTTCTTTGACTGTAACTAATGGCCAAGTACAATTCAGTACAAAAAGGCCTTTTTGCAGTCTGGAGTTCTCCCCCATTTGTAAAATCAGTGACTGACAAGGGATGTCAGAGTTCATCTAACTGAAATGCTCTTGGTTATGTTGAACTCATTAGAGCCTATCAGATAAAATAACTGGCATTCCAGGATCAATCCCCCATTCTTTCCCGAAAAGAAAAAAATCTGAATATATTATTGTTAGCTGCAAATGCCCATGACTCAGCCATGCAGACATCCAATAGATAATTTCGCAGGCCACTTAAAAAGTATCTTGATCTTTTTGTTTGCCTGGTAAGAATTCTGTATTCATTCTGATGATGCGGGAAATGTGCAGTAAATTTTAGAGGACGCTGAAAATTGCTTACTGCTTCAACGCCTGGCAAACAGCCGTGTAGCCCTAAGCTTGAGTTTTAGATTTTCTGTTCCAAGTTGACCCAAGTCCTGAGCTGTGGTCCGTCTGAACCGGAGGAATGCTCAGGTGGCTGATCCTACGCTAATGTTTTTAAGGTGGATTTGTTTGGTCAGATAAATTTATTGGATACTGTAATTACACCGGTTATAGTACTGACTGCTGTTAGTAGTCACGCCAGCAATCAAACAGTAAGGTCTCACCATAGCCACTTTCTTTCCCCATCGCTCTGCCTGTGCTAACTGTAGGAAGAAATAAGCGTAAAGACCACTGTGGCACCTTTATGTCACTCACTGGAAAATGGTTGTAAGGAGCTTTACCCTGGTGGAACAGTACAAAGTTAACATAATGTAACTGTATGCCTGGGGTGCAAGGTGAATTTGCTTTGTATCAATAATTGTTTCTTATATTAATAATTTTATTTCTCATTTTGAAGAGTGTGTATTTGCCTCTCCTTCTGTAGGAGCTGTTCATGGCTCACTTTAGGTCTTCCTCCAAATTGCAGTGCCTTCTAATCGTACAGTTGGCTCTCAGGAGCAGCATTTTTTGGGGCATAATATCATTAAGACTATTCACAGAAGGAAGCCCTCCTCCCACCGCTGTGTTTGCATCATCATTGAATGAAATTATCTCAGTAATGGAAATCTAGACACATGCCAAATACTGTAGGAATATTATATTTTTTGGCTTAGTGAGGATAAGCATCTAAAGTGCAGCTAGAAAAGTATTTAGAGTTATGCTGTTGTTTTAGATTTTTAAGGAGAACTCGGAAAGCAGGCTGGCTCTTACTTGTTTATTAGTATTTTTCCTGCTGTTTTTACACTAGTAGTGCAGGTCTTAGAAAACTTTGTGTGAACTGAGGGAAAGCATGTTCATTATAGTACCCATGGGTGATGAAACAATAATTTTAAATTCTACCTCAGAATATATATTGGGGTTTTGTTTGTTTGTTTGTTTTTCCAGTGTTTTAATCTTGTTTTCTAGTATCTTGCACAATTTGGAAGACAAGTTTTCTCTTATTATTTCATACATAGCTTGTGAAAGTTTACTAGTCATATTTTCATGTCTTCCAGCAAAACCAGACTGGCTTTGTTGGCTATATACTTAAAAACAAACACAAACAATCTTTTTTTTTTTTGTTCGTTGCAAAAGAAACAAAAAGGATACCACCCTGTTTTCCCCTGGAGGTCAACTTTTAATAGGCATGTGGGTTTGGAGGGTGTGAGTAACAGGTTTATACCAAGCCCTTTGAGACAAATAGCCAGTGTCAAAGGTCTGGGGGTTTGTTCTTTGTGTGCTTTATGTTCTGCATTAGTATTTTGCTGAAATTATTGTATTTAAAGTCTGCATTTTTCTTGGAACGTGGAACCACAGAGCAGAGATTTACAGTAATCTACAGTAGACAGTAGCTCTGAATAGAGTTGTGAACATGGTTTTCAAGTCCTTTTTTATTCCTTTTTGCTTTAATTATTTGTTGTGCCGCTAGTGCAGTGCTGCTATATTCTTCCTAACAGAGGCATGGCTTTTTCTTGTATAGGCAAGCCTGTTGTCCTGTCCAAAGAAGTGGAGTCTGTTTTGGTGGGTGCTGCTATTCTTGGAGCTTGTGCTTCTGGGGATTTTGCATCTATACAGGTATGCAGTACCTGGTTTTGGTTTTTTTTTTTTTCAGTTGTAATGCGTTTTACACTTTGACATTTGGCACCATGCACAGACTTTAATTCAAGTGGAAAGGTTTGTACTTTCTGCACAGCCGGACAAGAGCCAGCATCGCTTTCTCTCCACCCTCTTTTTAACTCCATATGTTATTTAGGTGTACTGAAGATTCATTTGTCTTTTAACTGTAGGAACATGCAGGTAGAAGCTACTGTCTATGAAGTTAGGCCATGTAATTTTACAGACGGAAAAGGGAATTTGGCAAGGCTCTGATCCTGCAAGAAGGTCACTTTTTCATCTCAGTTATATTTGTCCTACTTTCCTTCCTTCATATGGAAGAATGTTAAATATAAGAAACAACATAGCACTATTTATGCAGTAAAAAATGACACACCTATACCTCTTGTCTTGCCCACAGTGAATGCAGAGTTAATATTGAGGCTGGAACTTCATGTTTATTCATGTTATTTCAATCCATTAACAGTTTTAAAAGTAGCAGTAAGACTCATACGTTCAGTGGATTAGCCAAAGCATGACTTAGCTGCATTTATATGAACAACAGTAGTATACAGAAACCCAGAGGAGGGTCTGAAAGCCCCAAATCCTATCTGTTTTCCCATCTGGCAACTCCACTGGCATAGGGCATGTCCTCTTCTCATGCTACACAAGGACATTAAACAGTACACTGCATCCAATTGGACAAAATTATTTATCAGGAGGGTCCCTAGATACACTTTTCTTTATAACAGGCACAGATATTTGTAGATTAAATTTTGCACAAAATCTTATCTGAATGTATTTTCTGAATAGGGAGGTCAGCTTCTCAACCTTATTAAATTGATGCGGTTCCACTGGAATCAGTAAACAGATCAACATAAGCTGAGGAACTGGGCCATGTTTGGCATTTTTCCAAATGTCAAATTTCCAAATGTGAATATTCTACAGTGCTGTGTAGGTTAGCAGGAAGAGCAGTCTTCTTTCATAAGAATTTTTCCATTAAAATTAATCCCATTGCAACAAATATATAGTACAATATATGTATCTGTATTTAATAATTCTAGTGCTTCTAAGAACTTCTTTTGATAAATGTAAATTCAGTAGCAGCTTTTGGTGACAGAACTTCATATTTAATTCTTACTCTTCTGTTAATCTTCTGCCTTCAAGTACACAGATATTTTGTTCCAAATTTAAGATGTTTTCCACTACTGTACAATACTTGGACATCTCAAAACTGATTTTATTAAGTCTGCCTTCATAATTATTAGAAAAATCTAATGTTGTGAAATTTTTTGTGATGTGTTTTTATATAACTTTGGTGTATTCATTTACGTTTAGTTTTTAATCCTGCCCTTATATATAAAAATATTTCAGAAGCATATCCAATAATGTCAGAACAGGTATGCATATTTTATACATGCGTACATATATGTCAGTCTGCATAGCACACTCCTTCAGAAATCTTTTCAATGAAACTAGACCCTTCGAACCAGCCATGTAACAGACTTTTTAATTTTAAAAGTGATTGCTCTTTCACTGTTATGGTACGTCAGGAGGTACCTGCCTCTTTAGTTATGAGGATGGTTTTTGGGCTTGTCCTAAGCGCAGTGCAGGTTCTGTGGGTCTTCCTGGAGTAAACTTCTCCTAAGGGCTTAACTGTGACTCTCGGGAGCTGGGTTTCATGACTCCTTGTGCTCCCTTCCCATTTCTGCTTGAATCAGGTAAGTTAACACCAGTACATAAAAAGAATAAACACGAATCGCAGTCCAGTGCCTCAGCGCCGCGTAAGGAGTCTGGTTTCCCAAACGCAGTCGCTGCCTTTTCCAGTCCTTCAGCAGCTGTTTGTGTAAGGTCTGGCTCCAAAGGTTTTGCTAATCAGCGGGAGAGTTTCCTTTTGTTTCACTGAGTTACAGGTCAAGCCCATGGGCTTCCCTGGGATAGCTCTGAAACAGAAAAGGGGAAAGTAGTTTGGAAACTACTGCTATTATACATCCCACTGGGTATTTGTAGTAGGTTTCTTTCCACCATATTGCCTGTGGTGATCACTGGGAGCCAGGTGAGGCCCTGAATCCTATCCAGGATGCCACAACATCACTGCAGTGTGAAGCAAACCACCCGCTAAGTGTTTTGGCTTAGTGTATGTTCAGCAAATTGTCGTTACAAAGGTGCCACCTATGGCAGTATCAATTGTACCATGCAGCATATATGTTAGATTATGTAAATTTATTTTAAAAAGAATTCAGCTACATGGGATCAAAACCCATGAAACTGAATAACTGTCTATTTTGGGGGTGGGGAGGTGTAAATGCATATCTAGCATTGCAGTTCAACAGCCTTCTCTTACATTTATTTTTCTAACACATCATCCAAAACAAACCTTTCTTAGAGGTGCTGCTGCAAGCATTCAGCACCGCTGTAGTCTTTGAAAATAATAGAGGTAATTACCTGTCCTCTCATAGATGGTTTATGCTTAATTATTTTGCTTTCCAAAGTTCTTTGTTTGCTCAGTCTAATAGTAAAGGAGAAAATTGTGGGGTTTTTAGCAATGACCTCTTTCTTTATGTCTATGGTTGTTTGAAGGGGAATTTTTACTGTATTTGTCCCAGTGACTGGTCACATTTCTCAGAATGAGTTTTGGATATTTCCACTCAATGTCAAAATCAAAACGCTTAAAAGCTATCTGGTTTTTATGGGTTGGCTGTTCTCCATTTTCTAGAACTCAAGCATCCTTAGGACAGCTGGGAAATAGCACCCAAACCCAGGGACCCTCAAAATCACTTCTGATAATCTTAGTCTGGCTTTAACACTCTCTGCTGACAAAAGGACTGGCATCTGCACAGACAGTAAAACCCCCTAGTGATAAGCAATAGCAGCAGTGCTGCCAGGCTCCTGCCAGGGAATCTCGTGTGGAAGCGTGTGCGTGTGTGCTGGGTACTGTGTGCACCCTGAGTGATGCTTGGGGGAGCTGGTGAGCCTGCGGAGCAGGGCTGCTCCTGTGTCTGCAGGCTAAAGCTGATGCACTGGGGACGTAACGTGCAGTATGTGTCAGAAGTGACTTGCTTGTGCATTCATTCTGTCAGTGTAGGGGTTTGGGGCATAGGACAGCCAAGTCCGAGCCACTGCTCCAGCAGTCTGCCCTTCGCTCAGAAAAGCTGGGCACACGGACAAGATCCTCAAAATCTACCAGGACAACACTTTTCAATACAGGAAAGAAAAGATGAGTCATCTAGGGAAGACCCAACTCTATGGTAACCTTATATAGTAATTAGAGTTAGGCTTTATTTAGCTTAACGGTTAGGAAAAGCATTAGAATTGGCTGGTATTTCCTTAGGGGTAAAGTATGTGACTGTGGTGGTTGCTGTTAATTTCATACTGCTGCCCTACCCTCATGCTTAGTCCCGTGGCATTCCATCATTGGCATTTGGAAATGGAGAAGTACCTGCTTCAGAGAGACGTTGGAGGATGGTTTTTCCAAGGACAGGCAGCTTGCTTACCTACGTATGGCTGTGTGATGAACCCAGTCAGAAGTGGACGTGAGACAACAGGATTCTCACCCTCCGCTTTCTTGGGCAGTTGGTCATAGTGGGTGGAACACTAAAGAGCTTTTCCTCTAACCTCTGGTATCCCTAAATAAGTTTCTTCTCACAAAGAAACAAGCATCAACATACCTCTTGTCTCTTTTTCCCTTTCTGTATTACAGCAGTGAGTATTTGCAGGATGCAGCATTTTGTTCTAATTCTTAATTTGCCTATCTTCTTGTTCATATTTTGAGTGATGTGTGGAGTAAAGGTTTTCATGCTTTCTATTGACCACATTTATATTAGTACCAAAATTCTCAATATGCTGAGCCTTTACAAAGAAGCATTGGAAATGAAGGTTATTGCAAAATCTGTAGCCATGCAGGTTAATTTGCTAGATTCTGGTGTGGTTTTAAAAGCTCAAGCCCCTTGAAGCTGCAATTTCATCTTTAGGTAATACTATCAAGGAAAGATTTATAACCGCCATCTCTCATGCCTGGTCACCATATGTTGTTGCTTCAAAGAATGTTGAGTTCTCTATTTTCCTCTTCATTTACTCTCCCTGCATTTTATTCCTCTGTGGTAAAACTGAATTAAAACAATTGGACTACCCAAAAAGAAAGAAGACCATGCAGTATAGTGGGTTCTTCCCCATTTCACCTTACGGTTATTTAGTCTCTAGAATCTAAGGAAAGGGGAGAAAATCTTCTGAATTTCTTCTTGCAATTTGGGTCATCTTTTAATTTGCCCCTACAAATGCTATACCCTTTTTCTTTTGGTGGTTTTGTTGTGTCTTGATTGTTGTGCCTGTGAGCTGTAACACAGCCTGACTGGGTGACAGAAGACAGTGCTGTGTAAAATAGTGTGACATGGATTTTTGAAATATACACTGTATTTTTGTTTTTTTGATTTTTGAAATATGTGCTGCATTGAATGAAATAACACTGCTGGCTTAGATGGGTCAATTTATTGGTTCTAGCCATTTCTTTCATGCTGAGCAGCAGGATCCTGGTTTTCTATGTGATTGTTTCTGTAGTAAAAATATAGTTTCCGGTTTAGCAAGCCAGCAATTCCTTCTCAGTAAAAATGTTCAATAAATAAATGTCAAAGTTTCCAGAATATCCTCGTTACTCTGCCTCACTTGTATGTAATTGAAAATGGGAAGAAGGTGCTGTTTGATTTGGCAGTCATCCAGCTCTTTTTTTTGGATAGCCTGCTCTTTGGGACAAAGCTGTACACCAGGGAACAGGATTATTGCCTTATAAAATCGTGCAGCCCACTAACTATTCCTTAATTGCATATTAAAGCAATTAATAAAATTACCTGTATGAAACCCGATTACCAGATTTATTTTGGATTTGCTATCTTAATGTGGGTCACTGTTGCTGGCCGATATGGAAGAGAAAAAACTTCGTATGATTTACTATAATACATTTTACTGATAACTTTCTGTAATCAGCTTTC